ATTTGCCATACCAAAGCTGGGAACAGAAAGCGGGGGTATATACATATATATATATATATTTCCCCCCCTTTAATGTATTATTTGTAATCACTTTGTTTAGAATTAAAGAGATATTTTCTTATAATAAGGGCTTTCTGGAACTTGCCAACAAAAATTATGATTTCTAATTTTAAGATTTACCACCATTGTTCACAAGGGAATCTGATAAACTGTAAAACCAGATAGATTTATCACCCATGATCGAATACAGCGTTGTCCAGCTTTCTTGAAGAATATCAAAGCAAAGTCTTGATCTTGGCAGTAATAGCCAGTGGAAATAAAATGGTAGATTGATACAAATGAGCATTATTGGTCTCTAAAGACAAATATCTCAATTCACCCCTTGGAGAAAGAATATGTTACCAGCTGGTAAAGGCAGCCTTGGGTAGAGCGTTTCCCCATAATCTTGGTTAATTTGAGCTGTAACAGGGAGAGATGATCTGCCTTATGTTAAGCACTTACACAATGTTGAGGATCTCTAGAAAATACTATGCAAGGTGTGTTTGGGGGGGGGTGCACATACGAGCCCTTTTCATACACTCTGCAACTTACTAATGCCAGTGTCTTTTACATATTCTAAGAATATTTTCTAAAAAGTTTACCAGATTTTATTTTTGTATTTTTAACCTTTTTATGCATTTTGTATGTTGTATGCATAATGTTTACTGTGTAAAATGTATTCCTTGAACATAATAAACTTATTATAAGCACAAAGCGAGAACAAGTTGTGTAGTGGTGGGGTGTGCGGTGATTGTTATATCGCTCAGGGCTGCCCCCTATCAGAGATCTCTCTAGATCAGGGGTGGGCGACAACCAGCATTCCAGATGTTGAGGGCTGCATCCCCCTAAAACCTTTTCAGTATTATGGCTTTAAAAGACTATAGGGTCAGGAACACAAACATGTATATTGTGTTAACACCACCATCTAGCCCCCCTGGGCCCCTCATTCCTCCATAAATATAGCAAAATCTTACTGTATTCAAGCCAGAAGCTGTAAATCTGCATGCTGTTAGACTTGGAAAAACAAGCAGTCTGCTGACATGTGGTAGCCTGATCCAATCACAGTGCTTCCCCATAGGATGGACTGAGACTGACAAAGAAGGCAGATCAGGGGCAGAGCCAGCATGATTCAAACACAGACCTGGTCAATCAGCATCTCCTCATAGAGATGAATTGAATCAGTGAATCTCTATGAGGAAAGTTCAGTGTCCGCATGCAGAGGGAGGAGATACTGAATCACAGGATGCTGTGTACAGTGCTGCCCTGTGCTCTGCTGACAGCAGATCTGAGTGGATTGAGGAGTTTTATGCCTCAATGAACTCGGAAGTCCCTCTGGTGGCATTCTGAGTGACTGCAACTGGAGGTGTTCCTAGCTTTCAATGAAAACACCATATTTTCTCAGAAAATACAGTGTTTACATGAGAAAGGTTGCAGGGAGCTATAGTTCTCACCTGAACAACCTCATTAAGCTGAAGTTGTTCAGGTGACTATAGTGTCCCTTTAAGAGAATTATGGGAGATGTAGTCCACATCATCTGGAGTGCCTTCACACAGAACCTTACCATGTGACATACTGAACAATACCCAGAATCCAAAGTGAGCTGGTAATAAGCAGGATAACCAAATCAACATGTTGGGCAAATGTCTAGTTTGTGACATTTTAGTAGGCTGAGGGTTTATTAACTAAACTTGAAATTCAGGCTAGAATATTAATCCACAAACTGCTTTAGAAACAGCATAATTATTTCAGCCTAAAGTTTGTCATATGGATTCCAGTTTGCTACAACTCATAATTTAGTGAATAGACCCTATGATGCTTTCTGACTGTTATAGCTATAAAATTGTATTTCATTTGATTTTAAAGCATAACAAAAACATTGCGCAATGCAGGAAATAGAAAATGGGAACAAGAAAATGCAGCATTTAATATTCCTTTATCACAACAGTGACTGGCATTACTGCTAGGCCTTGCATTATCAGATGTGTAGAGAAAGAACAAAAGTTATTTGCCTAAAAGTTAGAAAGTTCAATTACATGACAGTCACACGCTGTATGTAATGGATAAAGTTCCAGAAACGTATCCGAGGCAGATAGATTAGCAAATAGGAAAGTGCTTCATTTATGGAAATCATTAAACAGGACACTCCAAATCCCCCGAGAACTTTAGCTTGCTGTAAATTCTATGCCCACTTTTTCATTTTACAGAACCAATCATGCTACTTCCTGGTTATTTAGCTGAATAGTGATAAGCTCAAGAGGCAAAAATTGCTCAGAGCACCTGCCTTGCAAATATTTCTTACTGAGCTGCATTGGGAAGTCTGTGATTGGACAGTCACAGACAGTCTGTGTGGAGTTAGAAGGGAAGGACTTGCAAAGGATGCAGAGAAGAATTTTGCTGCTTCTGCAAGCGGTTTTGAGATATCCCCCCAATAAAAAATGCAAAATTAAATGCATGTGCTTTTCAATTTTCATCAGAACAAATTTAGACCAGGTTTGTTTTCGGAAAGAAACTAGTGCTTTCCACATGGCTGTCATTTGTTTGCAGTTCGAGGACTGTTGCCTTCTGGATTCCAGCCACCTCTTGTTGTAACTTGAAGATGATGGGCTCACCATCCATGTTTTCATGTGTCTATGATGACAACAAATGGTATTTTCATCCTGTAATAGAAACTCCTGCAGCTGAGCATGAGTTTCTTACCCAACATAGTAGTTGTACCCCTGTTGATGACACAATATGAAGACTTGTACTAGTGACAGAATATTTGTTTCACTCCCTCAGAAGGTTTGCTTGTAAACGTTTCATACAAGCCTTGGCCCAGTTAACTGCTGGAATGGTGGATACATTCCACTACAAACAGCCCTTACAGCTCATAGCTGGCTTCTCCTTCATATCCTGCACCCATCAGGTAGTAAGGGGGACAACTCCAGCAAGCGTACCACTGCAAAAGGAGGTTCTGGCCCAGATACTTCACAGCATGCACAGTCACTTGTGTTCAGGTTGCCCTAATCTGAACCCCTGCAGACTCACCCACTGCAAGTAAGAAGGGGGGATGTGGCGAAAGCTGTTTGAGCAAATTGAGAAAGCTGCAAATCTGGGTAACACTTTAATTATTGGAGATTTTAATTACCCGGATATAAATTGGGACAGAGGGACTAGTGCCTCAGCAAAGGGAATTAGGTTTTTAAACTTGTTAAATGACACCTTCATGTCACAACTTGTGCAAGCACCAACTAGAATGGATGCTTGTCTGGACCTGGTTTTAACAAACAACGTTGATCTTTTGACCAACATTCAAGTAGGTGAGCACTTGGGAAATAGTGATCACAATATAGTGTCCTTTGAAATAAACTCAAAAAAACAAAAGCACATGGGGAATACTAAAACATATAATTTTAAAAAGGCCAATTTCAATAAGTTAAGGGAAGCTTTACAATATATTGACTGGCATAAACTCTTTAGTGAAAAGAACACTGAGGATAGTAAAACAAGAGATTACAACTAAGAGAAGGGCATTTAAAGCATTTAAATCGGACAAATCAGATGCATCTTATAAAAGATATAAGGATGCAAATAATGCGTGCAAAAAGGCAATTAGACTTGCTAAACTTCAAAATGAAATAATGATAGCTGAAGAGAGCAAAACCAACCCCAAAGCATTTTTTAAGTACATAAATTCTAAAAACAAAACAAAATGAAAGTGTAGGTACACTAAAAACTGAAACGGGGGTGTTAATTAATGAAGACCAGGAAAAGGCAGGAATTTTAAATAACTATTTCTCCTCCGTATATATTAAGGAAGAACCCATGGCAATAGATGTGCAAATGATTGCTACTAAAAACTTGCAGAATAATTGTAATTGGTTAACTCAAGACAAGGTGCTGCAGCAACTAAAGAAAGTTAATATAAACAAAGCTCCAGGGCCTGACGGTATCCATCCACGTGTACTTAAGGAACTAAGTGCAGAAATAAGTGAACCTCTGTTTTTAATCTTTCAAGATTCTTTTCTTTCAGGAAGTGTTCCGGAGGATTGGAGGAAGGCAGATGTGGTTCCTATATTCAAAAGGGTTCAAAATCCTTGCCTGGAAATTATAGACCTGTGAGCTTAACTTCTGTGGCTGGTAAAATATTTGAAAGGTTATTAAGGGATAATATTCAAGAATTCCTTGAGAAGAACATGGTTATCAGCAAAAATCAGCATGGTTTTATGAAGCACAGGTCATGTCAAACTAACTTGATTGCGTTCTACGAAGAAGTAAGTAGAAGTATAGATCAGGGTGTTGCCGTGGATGTGATCTATTTGGATTTTGCCAAGGCATTTGATACAGTTCCACACAATAGATTAGTGTTCAAACTCAAGGAAATCGGTCTAGATGAAAATGCTTGTTCTTGGGTAGAACATTTGCTTAAAAACAGAGTACAAAGAGTTGTCATTAATGGTAAATTTTCAAGCTGGACAGAGGTGGCAAGTGGTGTCCCTCAGGGGTCTGTTCTGGGACCCCTTCTATTTAACATGTTTATAAATGATCTTGAAGACCGCATTGAAAGTCATGTTTCAGTGTTTGCAGATGACACCAAACTTTGTAAAACAATACAAAGTGAGCAAGATATTACTTTGCTGCAGAGGGACTTAGATAGACTGGGGGACTGGGCACTCAAATGGCAGATGAAATGTAATGTTGAAAAATGCAAAGTTATGCACTTCGGCGTAAAGAATACACAAGCAACGTATACCCTTAATGGAAGCGAATTAGGGATAACAACACATGAAAAGGACTTGGGAATTGTTATAGACAACAAACTATGCAACAATGTGCAATGTCAATCAGCAGTGGCCAAGGCCAGTAAGGTATTGTCATGCATGAAAAAGGGCATTCATTCTCGGGACAAGAATATAATTTTGCCTCTTTATAAATCACTGGTAAGACCCCATATTGAATATGCTGTGCAATTTTGGGCACCTGTTCTAAAGAAGGATATTATGGCACTAGAAAAAGTGCAGAGGCGGGCTACAAAATTAATAAAAGGAATGGAACATATCGGCTATGAAGAAAGGTTAACAAATTTAAACCTATTTAGTTTAGAAAAAACGTCGCCTGAGAGGGGATATGATAACATTATACAAATATATTCGGGGCCAATACAAACCATTGTGTGGAAATCTATTCACAAACCGGACTTTACATAGGACACAAGGCCATGAGTTTAGACTGGAAGAAAGAAGATTTCGTCTAAGGCAAAGGAAAGGTTTTTTTACTGTAAGAACAATCAGAATGTGGAATTCTCTGCCTGAGGAAGTGGTTTTATCAGAGTCCATACAGATGTTCAAACGGCTACTAGATGCATACTTGCAAGAACAGAATATTCAAGGATATAATCTTTCAATGTAGGTTAATAACTGCTTGATCCAAGGATAAATCTGACTGCCATTCTGGGGTCAAGAAGGAATTTTTTTTCCTAGCTTGTTGCAAAATTGTGCTTCAAACTGGGGTTTTTTTGCCTTCTTTTGGATCAACAGCAAAAAACAAATGTGAGGTAGGCTGAACTTGATGGACGCAAGTCTCTTTTCAGCTATGTAACTATGTAACTATGAAAGCGGGACTGATTGCCAGCCTCGTGCCTTGGGACTATGACCCCTGGGAGATTGGGCACTTTAAAAACAGTCTTGGGGCTTATGGACTTCTATTGGACTGTGTATGGCCCTTGCTAAACTTTAGCCCCATGGCGATTTTGTTCTGTTCGTGGGATCTGAGCGGTGTTCGGATATATTGAGCGCTCAGATCCAAGCTATCTGGGGATAGGTTGAATGTGGGGGTTCTGTTCAGTATGATAGGAATTATGTATTTAAGTGTTCTTGCATAGCAAGACCACAATGTTATCTCCCATATATATTATTTTTATTATAGCCAAATTTACCACCCTAACTCCTCCCCCAGTTTTTACACTACATAGACAGTAATATACTGAAACATGCGGATTGTTCACGATTGGTGTGTTATTACTTTGTTGAACGTTTTGCCGAATGGTTCACGGAATATCGTCGATCAAAACTAGAGTGGGAGCTGGCAAAAGCTGAAAAATCAGGACATGATTTCTAAACTGCCACCACTCCCTCATTTTCAAGTTCACCTACACAAATCTTATATCAAAACGTTCAGCTATCCCTGCTGCCACTAAACATGTCCAAGGCTAAGCCATAGTCCTGATAGTTTTCACAATATGAACATTTGTTAGCAACTCACGTCGTACAATTACATTCATTGAAACTCCACTCTAGCCAACTCAAATTTGAAGGGCAATTTCTAAACTGCGACTTTGCCTTCATTTATAATGTTTCAGAGACATACTATGCATCAAAATGTAGGTCTGGGTCTTGTGATTCTCACAATACAAAGATCTTCACTGTAGGATTTATAGTTTTTAAAATATGACCGTTTGAAGATGGCAACCGCCAAAATACTCTGACCCAGTGGCGTACATACCAGGGTCGCAGGGGTCGCGGCTGCGACCGGGCCCGGCCCACCAGGGGGCCCGGCCGCCCCTGCGACCCGGTATGTACGCCCAGGGCCAGCCTCTTCCCCTGGGAGGCCCAGGAGCCGACCACCCCAGGGCCCCCCTGAGGCTGGCCCTGCTGACCCCGGGTGGCCGGTCGGGCAGGCAGGCGGGCGCGCGAGGGAGCTCCCTCCTCTTCAGCTCCCTCGCGCACCGCACTGATACCGGAGCCGGAAGATGAAGTCATCTTCCGGCGCCGGCATCTCTACGCGGCGCGCGGGGGGGGGGCTGAAGAGGAAGCACTGAGTGCTCCCTCGCGCGCCCGCCTGCCTGCCTGCCTGCCCGACCGGCCACCCGCCCAGGAGCCCAGCAGCACCACTGGACCCCAGGGAATCCCCCCAGCACTCCAAAAGGTAAGGAGGCTGGGGGGATTAAATTTAAAAAAAAACATGTGTTAGTGTATTTGTGTGTGTGTGTGTAGTGTGAGTGTGTGTGATTGTTAGTGTGTGTGTGTTAGTGTGTGTGTGTGTGTGTGAGTGTGTGAGTGTGTGTGTGTTAGTGTTACAGTGTGTGGGTGTTAGTGTGTCTGTTACTGAGTGTGTCTGTTACTGAGTGTGTCTGATGTCTGTTAGTGAGTGTATGTTTGTCAGTGAAAGTGTATGTTTTGTGAGTGTATGTATGTCTGTCGCTGAGTGTGTCTCTGTCAGTAAATGTGTGTGTCTGTTAGCTAGTGTGTATGCGTCTGTTCATGAGAGTGTGTGTCTTTACCTTCCTCCAGCGCCGGACTTCCTTGGCGCTGGGGATCCCTCCGCCTTTTAGCTCCGAATGCACATGTGCGGCAAGAGGCGCACACGCGCATTTAAGCCGCCCATAGGAAAGCATTACTTAATTCTTTCCTATGGACATTGAGTGTCTTCTCACTGTGATTTTCACAGTGAGAATCGCGGAATCTCTGCTAGCGGCTGTCAATGAGACAGCCACCAGAGGCTGGATTAACCCTCAGTGAAACATAGCCGTTTCTCTGAAACAGCTATGTTTTCAGCTGCAGGGTTAAAACTAGAGGGACCTGGCACCCAGACCACTTCATTGAGCTGATGTCATCTGGGTGTCTGTAGTGGTCCTTTAGGTGTGTGGGCAGCATACCGGGGTCGCAACCCTGCGACCAGGTGCCCGCCGCCATGTGTTGTGGCACCGACCCACGCCGAGTAAGCGCGCGGGGGGCCCATGGATCAATTTTTGCACCGGGGCCCCATGGGTCATGTGTACGCCACTGCTCTGACCTGTGCCAGGCTGGAGCAGCAAGTGATGTCATAGACAGGGCCTTTTGTACACCTGCTAATGTTTTTATAAATGTATGTTTTAATGAAACTCCACTCTAGCCAGCTCAAATTTGAAGGGCAATTTCTAAACTGCAACTGTGCCTTCATTTTTAATATTTCAGAGACATACTATGCATCAAAATGTAGGTCTGAGTCTTGTGATTCTCACAATATAATGCTCTTCGCTGTAGGATGTATAATTAAAATTAAATACGACCGTTTGAAGATGGCAACCACCAAAATACCCTGACCTGTGCCAGGCTGGAGCAGCAAGGATGTCATAGACAGGGCCTTTTGTACACCTGCTAATGTTTTTATAAATGTATGTTTTAATGTCAGTGTGAAGCACTTTGGGCAACAACGTTGCAATTAAATGTGCTATATAAATAAATAGAAGTTGAAATGCATTTCTCACTCTATCAAGCTTGCCATGTGCACTTTTTAAATTTGATCAATCAATTGGTTAGTGTAATGTTTACTATCTTTACTCACTCCAAACACTCCACACAGCTACTCTGCCCAGTCCAACCTTTCCACAGTTACTCCAGCCACTCCAACCACACAACAGTTACTCAAGCCACTCCTCCCAGTTACTCCGCCCACTCCAGTTGTAGACTACTGGTGGAGGCAAGAACACTTCACACAATTTCCCTAGAAATTGTAGCTTTTCTAGTTTTATGTGTTTTTACTGTTGTTGTAAATTGAGAGATTTTCTGTATGCTGGAGATAATTGGCTTACCACACCCAAGCCATGCTTGCAGTTGGTCAAAAAGGGATTTCCAACTATCTTTTGAACCAATGGACCAATTTGTATGATTTTGGCATGCGTTTGTATGTGGAGTATGCTGATTCTGAAAATGTAATGTTTTATGTGAAAGTGATGTATACTTTTAAAGTTATTAATATTGTGTAAAATTGTGTATTTTCCTGCCTAATAATTACGTTAGCCCATTGTGTTCAGTAATTATATCACAGGCAGAGGGTAGGATTTTGTGTGTAATTGCTGGGAGTGTCTGAGTGTATTGTACGTATTGATTGGTTGTTCTGCAAAACCCTGTGGGCAGTACTATGTGTGTAAAATGTGCATAAAAGCAGAGTGTTGGATTAAAGCTTCAGTTCTACTTCACCCTCAATTTGGAGTCCTGTCTCTTATTGGGGGAATCTGCTACAAGGGATTCCTATGCTCTGCATATTCCCTTGCTATAATCACTCCTAAGCTCTTTTAAGAGCTAGTTCCTGCTTCGCTCTGAAAGAAGAAAGGTTCGGCCTGCGGTGGTTGTGGTGTCTGCTAGAGTGCTTGGAGCCCTCCGGAAGCGCTAGGAGCATCCTTCAACGGAGGTACCCAGTCGGGGTGTCTGGTGATCCGTTACAGGGGAGAAAAATAAAAAGGTACAAATGCAAACCTGGTGGGCGTTTCTACCCTATAACATAGTGTGAAGGAGTCTGGGTGGCATTAAGATATTAGATTTAAAGTTTAAGGGATAAATGCAACCTGTCGTGAAGGAGACCAGGAGGAAAATCCCTGCAGTAATACGTCCAATATCCATAAGGAAAATCACCTATAGCTGGTACTTTTATGCATGAGATGCTACATGTCCGTTTACATTTCTATAGAAGATTTAGCAAGTGACAATATAATCCAGTTCAGAAAAGGCACAAACTGTGTAAACATTGCAAATGAAAAGGATAAATAGTAGTGATGTGCCGAACGGTTCGCCGAACAGTTCGCCCCGAACTCATCATTGAGTAAACTTTGACCCTGTACCTCACAGTCAGCAGACACATTCCAGCCAATCAGCAGCAGACCCTCCCTCCCAGACCTTCCCACCTCCTGGACAGCATCCATTTTACATTCACTGTGAAGCTGCATTCTTACTGAGCTGTCCAGGAGGTGGGGGGTCTGGGAGGGAGGGTCTGCTGCTGATTGGCTGGCTGGAATGTGTCTGCTGACTGTGAGATACAGGGTCAAAGTTTACTCAATGAAGAGTCCGCTGCGAACCGTTCGGGACATCACTAATAAATAGCAATATTATTTTATTTCTCCTCTTCGCTATATTCTCTCTCTGTGCTGACTGCCAGGTGTAAAGGACAGAGCTTACAACCATGATTGAGAGGGAGCCAAAATGGAGGCGCAGATTTCTACATTTTAATACATGTTTATTAAATATATTGAATGGTAAAACATTTAAAGATCGGATACACTGGTACGTGAGAAGGGTCCCTTAAGGAACAGTTTCTCATTTTGTACCGATATGTCCAAATGAGTTGATAAATTCCATTTGTAAGATGTTGATCTTTGGAAGTGGACACGCAGTACATCCATTTAGAGATTGACTTAGAGGATATTTAATACTAAAAATTATAAATATTTTAGCATCTCGG